ATGGGAAAATCCTTGTAGTTTTTGTTATTTCAGAAGAAAATTTATGTCATATGAGCATTTGACAAAAAAATCACCACCCATAGTATTCACAAATATTGCAGGGTATTACTTTACCTTTTCAAAATTATTTACACTTGAGAAAACACATCAGTAGACAATTTAAACTTTATGGCACTCAATTAGACAGTAGTTTACTAGGACATTGTGGGAAAAAGAGTTGCTATACCAACAGTTAAGATTTGTCAAGTGAAAATTGGACAGCTGGAGATTCCAAAGTGGATATAATTTATCTAGCTTTTATTTATTAATCAAGCATTCAAGAATTTGTTCCATATTATATTAAATTGTAAAATGACTTTAAAAAAAAAATTTGCATGATTTGGCACTTGAAACATCAATTTTAGTAACCCACTTAATGCTTGAATAAGTTCCTCTGTAAATTTACACAAGTTCCCCTGTAGGTAGCTTAAGTTCATCTATTCTCCATTTCTTAAGAGATTATAGTTGGCAATAGGTTATCCAGTAATGTTTTTTTTCCCTTAGAATGATATGCCGTTTATCTACTTAACACCACACATGAATGAATCGTTCGGTGGAGTTAGTCTTCTTCATGCCGACCTGTAAGCCTACAGTAATGTTGCGTCTTAGTTGATGACACAGAATTAGAGCTCCGCTATGCTGAGTCAATGGAGGGAGGTTTGGGGCAGTGAGTGGGTAAATAAGAAAAGGTGATTAAAAAAAACAACCCTACCCCTTTACTTACAATAACCATCGGCCATAACTGTAGGATTTTAGGTTTGGATGACAGAAGGGGTTGGGCACTTTGGCAATTAGACTCTAATCATCGTACGACAAGCAGTCATTTAATTCTACTTGTTAGCTTTATGCCTGGTTAAAGAGCTAATTCAGTCCCACAGATTAAAATTTTCATACCAAAGAGTAGAAAAAAAATATTTTTGTAAAAAAAGATTTTTTTTAGAAGACAAATTTAATTTTCAATGCTCTAAAAAGAAAAGAATACTTTTCTTGAAATTCCCTTCACAAATAAAGTCTTTGAAGAAAATATTTTCAAAAATTAGAAAAATAAAACTTAATTAACCTTCTTCTAAATTTCATTGGAATCCTTTGCCTTCAAAAAGTGTCTTACTACCCTTTTGCACATACTTTAAGTGCCTAAAGAATTCTAAGAAATTTTAATTTATTTCCTACTTTTTAATTTTTAATATGTTTAAGTTCATTTGGAAAGAAGGTCTCTTTTTTAAAAAAAAAATTCTTTCATCTGGCAACACTATTCAATTGTAAGTTATTGAAGTTGTGGTTAGTGAGACTGTGGTATTATTTTAAGTTCAAATTTAAGACTGGCTATAATTATTTCAAGTTAGACCAAATACATAGCTGAGAAGTAAAGACTAAGACTCCCTTTAGAAAAAAAAAAAAATCTCACCCCCACACCCCTTTTTTTTAAAACCAAAAGATGATTAAATTGAGGTTGATTATATCTTAACCTTCCCTTCCAAAAATATATGAAATAAAATAATATTAACTAGACCTAATTGAACCAAAAAAAAAAACCTGACAATTTTTCAGAATAAGGGGCTATGTGGACACTATGTTAAGGATGATTGAGCTCCCTTCCTCCATCCAGCAGATGTCATGCACCTAAAACCTAATTAATAATACTAATGCAGTTATTTTACGGGTGTCATTAGTAATAGCATTTTTATGTCGTATGTCTACAAATGAATGACATGAATGTGCTGACTTTTGACATTTGTATTCATCTTTCACTTTGACACTTTAACTGAACTACAATTATTTTATAATAGGTTTATGGCAACCCATAAATGACAGCAATTTTGTCAAACTTTTGACACCCCCTTCCCACATCACAAATTAATCAACACTACTGAGACACTCTCACTCATAGTAGATTGTTACAAAGTTCTGACTGCCTTCCACCTTTATATGCATGACATCATTAAGGATGGCCCTTCCTTAAGTCCAAAGCGAGGCTCTGCCAAACTTTGACACATAAAAATTGTTTATGTTGCCATACTAATTATTAAGTAGCGATTTCAGCACTGAAGATTTCCATGTTCCAAATTAGGGTTGCAACAATTTATCAGCTTGTTTGATAAAATCTTGGGTAATTTAATCAAATTTGTGCCAATACATATGGGAAAGAATGTGATCAAGAAATTACTTGTTTTTAAAAAATGTATTTAAAAAAAAAAGTTATTTTCAAAGCAAAATAAATTAAAAGTAGAATTAACTTATGGGTGCAAAGCTAAGCAATAGATATAATCAGGGTATAATATTAACTAGTAAAATGAAGCCTATAAAATATATGTTGATTGCAGGATTTTCTTTTCATCTAAAATTGATTTTAATTTCACTTGTAGGACAGGTTAACTATTAGGAAATAACATGTTTGGCTCCTTGTCCATAACTTTGTTGATCACAAACAAATACTTATATTATCATCCATCAGATACCTTCCTTGATATGTCTCAACACACATCTCGAGTGAGAGCTTTGTATAAAGCACTATTAAAACTTCACAGAGGCCTTCCACTTGAAATAAAGGCCATTGGCACTCAGTACATGAAGGAAGAGTTTCATGCTCACAAAACAGCTAAACCAAAAGAGGCTGTCATTTTTATAGATGAGTGGACTGTGAGTATTCATATATAAGCTGTCCTATTTTTTAAAACAATAAATATTTATAAATATTTACCAACTCTAGCATTTTTTTGTATTCATCGTTAGTGGAGCCAGAGGAGCTTCAGGAGCCTTGACAGTAAAAAAAATAATTGATGTCACTCTGAGCTTAATACTTTTGTAAGACAATGTAATGTACAGAAAGTTATGAATTATAGGAACATTTTGTAAAATATGAGAAAATGATAAAAAGTTATTTTGAACCAGAAAAAAAAATGGCTTTTCCAAAACATTTTAGTGTTGACAAGGTATTAAACAAAAATCTTCCATCAGTAGCCAGTGAGATTAGCTAATAAGTGCTGTGATTTTTCATGTTTCACATAGATTTTTTAATGCTGATTTTTCAGAAATATTATGTGACTTTAGCCAAACAATTAGGGCAGCGGAAAAAGAAGCCAGAAATTGGAATGGACCTTTCTCCTGAAATGTTGGACAATTTTTCTGAGGAACAGCTTGGTCAATTACATGAACTGTTTCAAGAAACTACAAAAACAAATGCAGACAATACCAATAAAAGATAACATTATTAACAGACTAAAGATTACAAGACTTTGTAATAAAAAAGAATTGCTTTACCATCAGTTAAATTCGTAAAGTGAAAAATGGAGAGGTGGGGGATTTCAAAATGGATATTATAATTAATAAAGCAGTCAGAATTTTGCTCCATAATATACTAAATTGTAAAATGAGTTCTTTAAAATTGTGCACGATTTAGCAAGAAGTTTTAGAAATTTTAGCATAATATTGTTCAGCTATTTTCTTCATCTCTTTTCCTTTCTTAGTTGAGATTCTTAGTGTTCAATTAAGCCCATGATTAGGTTTTTAATTCTTCTTCTTCTATATCTTAAGGGCCCACGATCAATTTATTGATCATTTTGGCTCCTATGCATGTAGATGGGATTTGCAATGTTTCTGTTCCTGGTGTTGATGAGGAAATTTCACAGATTTCCAGTGCCACTTTGTGAGGGAATCATGCACTGGGGGTTTGAAGGCTTGAGGCAATAGACACAAATGTGTCTAGTGTTGTCGCCTCAACCGTTCCTTTTGAAAGATTGTTCCAGTCCCTGATTGTCTTGGGCAGGAATGAGCAGCTCCTATACTGGCTTCTTGCTGGTATGAGCCTGAATTGCCTGTCATGGCCTCGTCGCTGTCTATGGGGGAGAGGTACGAGTTTCTGTTTAATACTGGAACAGTGGACCAGCCCATTATTTATCTTGTACATCATGGAGAGCCTGGATTGTCGTCGTCGTTTCTCCAATGGTGACCAGCCTAGTGTTTCTAGCATGCTGCCAACACTTGAGGTATTCCTGTAGCGGTTTAGGACAAAGCGTGCTGCTCGTCGCTGGACCGCCTCCAACCTGTCAATGCTCTTCTGGGTAAATGGGTCCCAGACTGAAGATGCATAATCTAAAATCGGACGGATAAAGGCTTTATATGCTCTTTCTTTCACACAGGAGTTGCCAATCTTTAGATTTCGCCTTAAGAACCCTAGGGTCTTGTTTGCTTGGTTACATACATTGTTAATATGTTCATCCCATCGGACCTCTCTTTGAATGGTAACACCCAGGTACTTTACGGAGGAAACTTGCTCAAGAATATGGCCGTGCAGTTTGTATTGGTAGTGTAGAGGAGTACAACTTCTAGAGATTGATAGTGTCTGGCACTTGTTATGACAATAACAACTGTTATTAATGAACAGTAAATGAACAAAATCATTTCCTTTTCAATCAGCTTGATTAAAGGTATACACTATTCGTTAACCACCTGCCATTTAAGCATTCAATCAATAACTAGATTGAGACTTTGGTAGCGGCAAGTCAAATTAGGGGGAATACATTTTGAAAAAAGGAATTTAAATAAAATCAAGTTTGTTTATGTAGCCGCAATTTTATGTGATAGATTAGTTTGTATTTTCATATTATGACTAAAATTGTCCACGTATAAAAGTAATAAACTTTTAAATGTTCATATGATAATTAGTTGAATTGTCTTATTTTATGTTTATAATAGATATGTTTCTTATGATTGCAAAAAAAAATTGTGATATTTTGACCCAATGCACCATAAAGTGTAAATTCACAAAGCAGTCATGTTAATTTCGGATTAGGAAAATGCATAAGATAATATTATTGATGAGAGTTTTTTGAGCTCATGGCTGACTGGATATTTTTTTAATGAAATAGCAAGATTTTACTCCTGAAACTATACAATCCAAGGTGAAATTACACAAAGTGATATGTCATTCATGCTATAATAAATAATACATGAAAATCAACTCATTTGAAATGTAGCAAGAATTATTTTATTTCATAACAAAATATTTGGTAAATAATTATAATAAATAAGTCTACCAATCTAATTTTCAGTTATAGTTTTGGCTTTACTCTACTTGTTCTACATAGAACAAATAAAAGGGTTCTATTTTGAAAAAACTTTGAATAAAAGAAATTAAATTTGTAAGAACTTTTTTAATCCAATGCATAAAGATTTAAATTAAATTAAATGCATGGTTCCCGACTTCAATTTATATTTATAGCATTGAAAAGAAAGCAGAATTACATTAAAAAATATATCACATTTTGGACACAACTGAAACTTAATATACGTTTAAAATAGGAACCTAACAAGATAAAAAAGTTCCACAAGTACAGTTAAAAAAACTCAAAGACTGGTGATTTTTCAGTTATCCAAATGCAGTGCAACTGAACGTTTGGACATCCTGAAACAATTAAGAGGCATACTATCCTAAAAGCAGACAAAAAGAACATTTTTCAAGAGAAAAAACAAAGTCAAAGACTGCATTTAAAATGGCATTAGGCATGGAAAACATTGTTCATGATCACATACATACAGTTAAACAATTCACATTCAATTCTCTTTCAGTTTATACAAAGAAGTTTCTTTAAAGTCTGGTGCAGTTAATTACAATCTAGTATCTGACTACAGAGTCTGTATGGTCCAAATTGAATGCTTTATTAGGCCAGAAGAATCATTTCAGGAAAAATAGAATTTGTAATGTCCTCCATCAGTCACTTTTAAATTACCTATGCTGGACTCATGGCAGAGTCTTATATTAAATCTCACAGACATTAATATCTTTTCCAGACTCTATAGCCCTGTACAAGTAAATATAAAAGTTTCTGTATCTTCAATTTGCCAAATAAATGTCGACCATACACACATCTTTATTTTACAAATCATTCATTTCATGTCACCACCCATTTTCATATATGTTCTTAAATGCAGTAATAAAGCAAGTTACACCTGCATTCTTCTAATTTTTTGGATAAACTATCTCAAAATTTAACTGTTTATAAATCATAGCCTTTAACGCAGCTGTTCACCAATAACATTTCAAGCAACAGTTTCATATCGAAAAAAATCTCTACATTTAGTAACTCCACAACATTTAATTGGTATTCTCTTCAAGTTTATTGCACTTACGATTTACAGTTAACATTCTATAGTTCAATATACAACTTAAAATTAATGAATGCATGGTTTTTAGCTTTCTAAAGGAAAAAGAGGGGGGAAATAAGCAATTATTGTTCATACAGGGGTGAAGAAAGAAACTACGCCCATATCCATATACACGTTCAATGAAAAATACTTGAATAATTATTACTTTAGTTTATCTGAGTGGTGCTCCAGTCCCTGCTAGATTTGAGTCCTCTTCCCTCTCAGCAGCATGTTGTTTTAATTCCTGTTGTGTGTGGACAAAGTTTGACCACTCATCAGTCCTGGGATTAGCAATGTGCTGATAGAAGAGAACAATTTATTCAGTTTAAGCAGGTTCTTAGGTATGTATGTTATTGATTTAGCATAAATAATATGCAAAGAAATGTTAATATTTGGTCCTTTAAATGCAGTCAGAACCTTGTTGCCATTAGAGAATGAGTAAGGTATATCGATTATTCTCACCTCTCCCACATCATAAATGTGTATTCGGCCATTATTATCTCCAACACTTATGTGGTGGCCTGTCTGGTGCCATCTGCACTGGTTAAGTGCTGGGCGGCCATCAACTAAGACAGATGCTGTGGGAACCTAAGACAAATACACATTAAGATCTTGAAATCTATGCATATATTTATTTAGTATTTTTGAAATTGTTTTCCTGTTTAACACTTTTTATTCATATGATGATGAAGGGAATTACTGATTTAATCTCTACATTCACAAGACACTGAACGGCATCCATATAACATAACAACAACAAAAAAATCATAAATAATCTCCCCTTTGTTGCTCACGCATTCACTAAATCGATAATAATTGAAGGACTGTTTGTACTGATGAAGGCATGTGCCGAAACGTTTACTTGTGTATTATGTATAATTATTATTAAAGCGTAACTTATATTGTTATATTGACACAATTTGTTCGTGTCTTATTAATCAAGTTATTCTGGGGTGATGCTATCTACCATCTTTTTCAGTTAATGTATATTGGCTTGTGTTGAAACGGGATGAAAGTCTTTGACTTGGTATGCTCCTATGTAGTTTTATATTGTTGCGTCTGTTTATTTTAAATGTGGTAAATTTTGGATTGTTTTTATTTTTCTTTTAATATGGTTGACTTTGTACCGAGCTTCGAGCTTTTGGGGATGAAGCGTGTTTTTTAAATAAACTTTATTATTATTATTATTATTTACGTTGAATCAAAAGACAGGACAATAAGATGTGCACGTTTCGGCTCAGTGCCTTCTTCAGTGAACAAGGCTCTAAGCCGAAACATTCACATCTTATTGTCCTGTCTTTTCATTTAAGCTTCTTCATAACTTTAATTATTTCATTCAAGCGTTCAAACATGTTCAAATCATTCATAAATGGATAGTTTTTTTTTACACACCAATGAAAAGTAATTTAGCTAAAAACGGACTCACATCATGAATATGACAGCAATGGACTCAAAATGATGAATATGATAGCAATTTAGATGTAATATAAAGTATTAATAAATAAATCCTTGAAGAATAATCCCAGGCCTTGTGGATTTCATCCTGCGAAGTCCACAATATAGTGACAGACAGATGCCAAAAAAAAAAAAAAAAAAACAAACAAACCCCCCCCCCCCCCCTCGAATGCAGGGCACGGCTAAAAAAAAGCACTATTCACAAAATCTTTGCAAATAATTTTATTTTTAGCTCTTACTCATTGGGACCCCCCTTAGAAATATTAATCCTGTCACCCCAGTTGGAAATTATGCACATTTATATTATTCAACTTACTTCTGTCTCACTGTTCAGGTTCCATAAATCCAAACGCCCTTCTCCATCTACACTTGCAAACAGTGCTGGGTGTACAGGGGACCACCGTACATCATACACATAGTCATTGTTGTCTTCAAAGGAGTGGATGTAATAAGGTTGCTATTTGGAGTATAATATTAAGAGTTTTAAAGGAAAAAAAAAATGCAAATAGTGAATATTTTTAAAAATTATAACAAATATATACAATTTTCTTTATGATTTTACAAAAAAACACTTTGATAGTAATTACGAATAGTTTTAAGATAGACATGATTTAACAAAACTTTATGACTTGATTAAATTAGATAGTACAATTGCCAGGCAAAAGACATCTACAAAGGTATAGGAAATATTAAGAATAATTGATCATAGCTTCCAGACATCATCTGTAAAAATTCAATTATTTCTAGCATTATACCTTTATGCTCCATAGCTTAATGGTCCAATCAAATGATGATGTAAGGAAATATGGAGAGAAGTCTATTTGACCTGGTACTTTATGCGTATCTATGCTGGTGATGGGCCCTTGATGGCCATCAAAAATGTCATTTATACCTGCTTTGCTGTAAAAAAAATATATATATATTAAAGAGAGAATTTTATCAAAGAAAACAACCAAATAGTAAACATATAATAAAAGAAAAAAGTCAATAAAGATATTATCACCAGCCAAATTTACATAATGAATAAATGCATGGTGTAGTCACAAATGTTTTGAAGTGACGAACACAAAATATGGATAGGTTTCCATAATATTTATTTCAGTGACCGGCATGGAACAAACCATATCCCGAAGATCTGAATGAGACATTGATTTGCAGGCAAACAAACTTACCTTCCATGCCTGGATGCAGAATAAATGGTACATTCTTCAGATCCTACAATAAAGTTATTGGTGTCTCCTGACAAAAAGCTGAAGCATGTTGCTGCCACAGGTTTGTTTTGCTTGGCTTGAAGCTCCATACTGTCCTGGAGGTTTGGATGACAGAAAAAAAAGTTCAGACTTTAATAAAACAGCTTTGTTAACTTTTATAATGGTCAAATGATGATTCATATTAACATGAAACAGCATAAAAAAAAACGTCAAGTTATTCCAAGTAAAGATAATATATTATTCTGTCTCACCTCACCCATTAACCTTTTCGCTACCAATGACATCGACGTGACATCACAATCACCCATTTTCAATTACCAAGGACGTCATATTGTTGGCATAACAAAGAGGAGAAGAACTTTTCTAAAATACCAAGGATGTCACGTCGACGTCATATTTCAATGCTATATATTTCTTTATTCGTTAATCTATAGAGAAGTTAAAAAGCGAATTGGATTGAGAAATTGCTACGTGTATTGGGATAAGAGATGTTTTTTCAACATAAGTTTCGAACATAATTTTTAACCACCAGTTGGCTTGCTACTACCACCAAATTATTAGTTAGTACTGTAAATATGACAGATATAATAAATAGACCAAGAGGAAATATTACTATTATTTCAAATAAAACTTGAAGTCACTGGACAAAAGAAATAGTAGAAGTTCCTATCAGAATCTTCAACTATTTATATGTTGCATATTTCAAAATAAATTAAACCAGTTGATTATAATTTTTTTTTAGATCCATTGACTGTCTTTTTTAAGGACAACAAATTTAAAAAATGGCATAACAACATGTAAAACAGCTGTGCAGACCTGGGGTTGTGACAGCATGTCTAAACTCCATGAACATAGCTTGCCATCAGTGGAAACACTGATTAGATTATGGGCATTCTGGGTGCCAACAACATTTACACAGTACACTGGATGCTGAGGATCAGAGACAAGCAAAAACAATCACAATCATTATGGCTAAGACTCTTTTAAAAGTATGCCTTACTTTTGAAAAAATTATAACCAATTCATTGTGAACCCACATAATAAAAAATCTTGTTTTGTTATCATAAAATCTTTTTAAGAATAATTAAAAAGGTAAAGATTTCTAATAAAAAATTGTGTCATCTGAATCAACTTGATGCTCTAAACTGATCCCTGGGTAATACAATCTAATGGGAAACTTACTGTGTGTGATGAAGCTGAGAGAGGTGTTCTCTGAACGGGTGTGCGTTTATTGACACGATTGTCCCAAAGTACAATACGACCAGAATATGTGCCGCCAATAACAAGATTTGGGTGAAATTGGGCAAAGCATGTTGACATCACAGATGACTAAGGAAAATGTACAAAAAATAGTCTAAATATATACATTACAAACACATTTTTAACAAAAATGGACTGAAAAATATTTTTTAAAGCTGACACAATTCATTAAAGTTATTTTTTTCACAGACCAAATGTAATGGGTTTATGATTTTGTTGTCAAGAAAAAAAAATCTTTCATTTGAAATAACAAAAGCAAGAAAATTCTTTTCTACCTGGCAATGGAAGATATATTCTGGAGACATATTTTTATACTTTAAATTCCATATGAGCGCTACACCATCAGGGTCATTAGGTGCATCTTCATTGGCATTGTAGGAAGCAAGCAAAAGCTCTGGATACTGAAATTGGATTTATAAATAAATTAATTGAAAACCACCTTCTGTCTTAAAAAAAAAAGTGCAACGTTTTAGTTTAATATATAAAATTTTAAATTATCAAAAATTTTAACTTGAGATTATTGATATGAATCAAAACTTAATTTTACCCTATAACTGTCAAGTACATTTTTCTGTAGTGTCTAGCCATTTTCAGCATTTTCATGTGTTTTTTTTTAAAAAATGACAAAATCCTATACTAAATGAATTCAGAGGCCCTTACAAGCATACATTTTCTGAAAGTAAATTGGACTAGGTATTTTAAGGTATGAAATGGATTTGTTTTTATATTATGTATATTGATACTAACCTTAACCTTTAAAGAGTGAAAACAATTTTTATACTCATCTTCTGAATTCAACCCAACCTATTACTCTATATGTTGTTCAAACTATCATAAAATCAAGTTTTGATATACTAGAAGCAATATTCTTTCAGAAAATTTAAAGTTATAGGTACTTATATATCGACAAAATTATAATATTTGGGATCTTTTTTTCATTCACTACCTTCAACTTTCTGTCATACAAAATACAAGAAGGAATGCACGAAATGAGTTCAAAAATTTCCTTTTCAATTGATATTACTAAATCCATTAAAAAAATAAAATAATTAACACTCTTGAACATACACAAACATAAAAGTCTTCAAGTCTCATAAAGGTAGTTCTTTGGGATCTAATCTTTGTCTTTTCTATTCGCAATTTTTCTGTAACAATACAATTGACCATAGGGCTAAAATTATCCAAAACTGACTCTTATGTCGACATCACCACTAGAGCTAATACTGTCATTTGTGGCACGTTTCATATCTCTGGGTTCAATGCATTCATTTTAATCCATTTGAAATAATTCCAATAGAGAAAGTCTGTGTTAACTTTGCAATCTAGAGCGGGACTTGCCCCAGCATCAGACACTATGGTAGTAAAAATGTTTTTGCAAATATTACACATGATTAATCATAGAAAAAGCCCACTTTAACAACAGATAGAGCGGAAATAGGAAAAAAACTCCTTTATATAGTCATGTCACCTTAACCAATATAAATCAAATCAATTGCATTTTTAATGACAATTTTGTTAGCAGTCCATTATATGGGCCATGACGCCACAGAAAAGGGTATAACAACAGATGATAGGCCATTATGACAGTTGAGGCATAATTAGCCTTATGTCAGTTTTAGCCTATGATGATAGAATAATGAGTTTAAGTTGTCAGCTTCTAATCAAAGTATACAAGGAATAGTTAGAAACAGAGGGAAAATGATTGGAACTAAAGGACTCTACTATTTCTACCTGTGGTGACCAATCCATGCTTGTAATCGTCCTACGCCGAGACCATCGCTCATCAAAAAATTCAAACTGCAACTTTAACCTTTCCCCGGCTAGCGCATCACTGATAAAGAAATGCAAAGACACAAAAATATTAAATTAACTGCATATAAAATCTTTGAGACAATGAACAATTCTATGACATCCAAAAAGATTTAGCTATAACTCAGAATTTTAACACAATAAAATCTTTAAACTTGTTAAAAGTCTGACTATATATTTAAATCAGTTTCAGTTTCTTTTTAAAGAGGAGAAAACTTGAAAATAATCCATTTAAAGAACTCTCTTCAATTTGAGAGATTTTAGGTTAAATTCATTTAAATTCATAAAAGATAGCATTGTTTCACTGCAAATACGCCTGGTATAAAATCAGGAGAAATCTATCTTGAAACGGCTATTTCAAAGTTACTGATAAAGGGTTTTAAAATCTGGCATGAAATATATAAGAACTCAAGTAATGTGTGCCTTTCAAATACTTACTCATCTTTCCCTTCATTGTCAGCCCCACTGTAATCAATGGTTAATCCTGTATCATTAACAGCAAGCAAGCGTTGCATAACCCGTGCTGCACGTGTCACACTCAGCTGATATTCTTCAGACATCATTATTTGTTTCTTCTCCTCCTCACTGAGTTCACGGACTGTAGAAAAAACATTACATTAAAAATATACACCAGGATTGGTTTACCCAACTTTAATATATTATTAGAAGCTATCATTTTTTAAGTGCAAAATATTAATATTAGGATGTTTCTGTATAAAATTTTATTGTTTATAAGCAAAATAAAATTGATAATTAACTTTGGTAAATCATAAAATTAAAATTAGTTTATTATACAAGTGTCTCCAAGAATAGCGCATCAATGTCAATTCATAACTAAAGTTTGACAAATATTACTTTTAGACCTTGATGATAACTTTTAGAGTTAGCAATCTTAGGACTATTTCAACATCTGACCATCCAAGCTTCAACTTGCTTTCAAATTCTTTATGAATACTTTTAGTAATAGACTTCTAAATATGTTTCAGTGAGAGGGTGTTAAATTTTGTAAAAATAGGTTTAAAGACATTGATAGTTGAGTTCCTTGAGTAGATTTTTATATTTCTTAAGATTGACCAGTAAAAAGATAAAGACCTCACCTTGGGGTGGTTCCTCCTCTTTCTTCTCCTCCTCTGCTCCAGCCGGGGCAACCATCTCCACACGAGGCATCCGATGTGCCATCTGGTGCATGTGAGAGCCATCAGCGCTAACATCAAGTGAGTCTGTGTCATCATCTGTGTGTTCAGCGTTGTCATAAACCAAAACTAAGATGTTAATAATTCCCATGGGCTGTTCAATAACTAGTGGCTACATGTCAAATGTCAGAGTAAGTGTACAAATTTAACTTTTCAATATGAAATAACTAACATTAGATTCTACATCATCAAAACCTGACCAATGACCCTGTGTTTGTATATCTAATATAAAAAAGGGCCTCAAATGATTAACGGTGTGTTCAGATGTATTTTCCATGCAAAATTAAGAATATAGTAATGTGATCCTTTAAGTGAGCTTAATTTGTTATTTAAAACTAACAGAAAAAAATTTAACAAATTTTAAACATCTACCTTTTAAAACCAAATAGAATGTATGAAAAGTGGAATCTTAGTTATACTGCATGCAACTAAAAATTAAATAATTGTAGAGGCATTGAAACAGTTCTCAGTGATGAAAATAATACCCAAAAGAACTCTTCTATTTTAATCTGTGTAATAATGCACTGATAACTGTGTGCTGAACAAGCTAAATGACAGGCTGAATCCAATTATAGATCCTCTACTTCATATACTGGGGAAATATCTTATAACTTTAATAACCAGTACCCATTCCAATAACACTTGACAACTTGATAAAACAAGCAAGGCTAAAATGCTACCGAATTTACATTCATCTTATTTTATGGTTTCATTAAAAAATTGAGGAAAATTACTTAGATATTGAACCAATATGTGTCAATTTATATTGGAACATGGCATAGTTCAAAAGTCTGTTGTCAGGCTGTATTGTTTAATCCTGAACTCAAAATGGAGCACTGTAGAACTACAATGTTTTTCTGAATATAATTGGAAGTTATCTTGACAAAAAAATTACTCCATTGTAATAAAATAGTAATAGCTTCATTTATAAAAACTAAGATCATTGTATGTTTGCTGCGAAGTGCATGCGAGTCATATTTATTTACGCAAGATGCATGTGTGGCAAAAATTAAATCTTTAAAAAAAAAAACAACAACCAGAATTAACTTTGAAAAAGCTTCATTTATAGATGCATCCATGTTGTATGAGGCATTAAAAAAATGTAGACCTTGATGATAAATTCTACAATTTGTCGCAAAAAAAAAAAAGCCCAACTATAATGCAAATTTAAGTCAGGTCCACTGAATGCTTTTCCTGCTTTTTTTTTATAGAATTTAGTGCAACAAAATAAATATTGTTTTAAGGTAGAATCATCTCATGACAAGAACTTTTTTAATTTTTAAAATCTATATACTGAAATATTTCATAGAAAATATGTAGATCTAACACTTATAAAGTCATGGGTTTTATAAACAAAATGAATAGAATTTCTTTTAAAAATTTTTTTTTTATTAAAGTGTGTTCCCCAATATGCACTGAAACAATAAAACAAAAAAAAAGATGCAGACAGAAAAACCAATGTTAAATGCTTGTGAGGCCGGCTTTAAAATAGGCTTGTAATTCAATGTCAATGACATTTTTAATTAGTGATAACTTGAGTTAAATCAATAACATGGCCACCAGTTTTGAACTTTGATTTAAACAAAGATATCAACAGATTAGGATAAAATTTTTCCCGAAAGCCAACATTTAAACAATCTTTTCAAAAGCTGATTTTTAACTATACAATGATAATAGACTGATATGCATGAAAAAATATATCACAGTAATAACATTTTAAAATGAAATTAAAAAGTAAATTCACAGCCAAAGATTTAGAATACCACAAAAGTGACATTAAAAATGTATATATTAGCAATGATCACACAAAAAAGCACCAAGCAGTAAAATAAAGACCAATGCAGAGAAGAAAATTTTATAAAGATAAAAATGACTAATTAAACTATTATAAATGCACCATCTCAGAATGTTTTCTGAGATTGATATTGCAACCACAACTGTATCTTAAATACCCTTACTTAAAGCAAAAAAGAAATTTAAAAAAAAAAAAACTTCTGAAAATATCAATCAAGTTCAATAAATGTATGTCGCGTTATTAGTCAATCTACATATATGTTTAATGAATATAAAACATAAGTTGACAATTTTCTAAAAAATGTTTTTTAACATTCCATCACAATTTCTCAATTGCTCTCCCCTCCTAAATTTGACTAAATTAATTTTAATTTCATAATTTGTGCTCAAACTGTTCATCTTACTTACCAGAACTAATAATATTTAATATTAATGTGTAAGGCATATTAAACAATTATTTGACCACAGTACTTAATATGCCCACAACACACTGCTTTGAAATTACTCATAAATAAAACAACTTTGTTTTTCAGATAACTTACAAAATTATTTACACTATAGACAATGAAGGATCATGCACAGCAAATGGGAGGCTTAAATAAGGTTTTAAAAAAAATTCAAAAAAAAAAAAAAAAAAAAAAAAAAATAAAAAAAAAAAAAAAATTTATAAAAAAAAAAAAAAAATAAAATTATTTACACTATAGAAAATGAAGGATCATGCAAAACAAATGGGAGGATTAAATAAGGTTTTAAAAAAAATTAAAAAAAAAAAAAAAAAAAAAAAACTTTAAGGAGACCGAAACTTCTGTTAAAAATAGTAAAGAAATGCATCATATTGTGCAAGGAGATAAGGTTATAATTGTTGAAAAGGACTATAATATTTCATCCACTTTACCAACAAGACAGAAAAAAACCCACCAAAAAAAAAAAAAAGAAGTTTTTTTCTAATAATGAAATTAATTTCCATACCTACAAACTACCTTAAATTATTCTTCAACCAAAACTAAAAGGTGTTCTTTTGTCTTTTCAAACAAAAATCCTTAACAAAGACTGGACATTTTATCAATGTGATATTTTTCAGGTTATGCCTTTTGTCTGACTGATTAAAGTGTGAGTGTTGTTAGTCAAAGATGTCTATAAAATAACAACATGTGTCAAAGACTATTATCAATCTACTAAAATTTTAGAATTATCAGGATGCTGATGTTGTCGCGAAACTTCAAATTTTGCCATGTAAAGAAAGATAACAAGGGGGAAAAAATAAATAAAACAATGGTAAAATTTAAAATAATAGCACTAATTGTTCCTTAGCTACAAATTTTCACAATTTTTAACTGTTATAAATTTAAATGAAATACAAGATTTATTACAAGTAATTTCATATTCAATAATAAGCCTATCAATTTAGAGAAGAGTAGATTTTAAAAAGAAAAAAAAAAGGGATCTATCATCAAGCATCTAAGAACTTAAACATTTAGCTATTTTTTAACATAGAAAATATGCAGGGCAAATATTCAAATTAAAACTTTCATTTTTTACTCACAAATCTGAGATTTTTATTCTAATGTAATATTTAATATTAATACTGATGCAAATTAAAACTTAAAAATATTCATAAATAATATATGATAACTAAAACTTAAATTCTCTATACACTATAACAACATGACAAGAAAATCATGGAAATTAAAATACCCAGTGACGGTGAACAATAGCCTTATTAAAGCACAATTATTATTTTTTAAACCATAATGACAGTCAAGCTAGGGAAGAGCTTAAAATATACAGCTTTTCTTCTCAAAGCACCCATTTTTATTTTCATAAATAGCAGTGGCTAAAGAAAACCCACCTAGAAAGAATAAAATTACATTTTCCTTTCCTAATTTTTTATAAAGATGGATGGAAATTATGTAAAATTAGTGGTTATAAACAAATAGAAGAAAAATTGTAAAAACAATTAGATTTTAATAATAATTTATGTTATATTTCTGACTCTCCCCTAGTCTAGCTTAAAAAACAACAAGGCATCTAGAGGCACATCAAATTTCAAATGTTGACACATAGTAAAGAATGAAATAAATTGCGTGCAGAGATCACATAGACATGAACTACTTCTTAGCTTTCTTTAACCGGAATATGTAAATGAATCTAATATCCATTTGTAAAAGAACATTTGAAGAATCCATACATATATTTGATAATTGGGTTACAGATTTAAAGCTAGAATTTTTTACTCTAAAAAGTTACATAAATTTACAGTTAAGGTAGAGCTAATGAAGCAGTTCTGTTATCCAAGATGGCAATAAACAAAAAAGACAAACATCTGGCCCATTTCTTGGATGACTAATCTCAACGGTAGCTTATTTCGTTTAGTAAGCATATAAAAATGTCTCATATGGAGGTTAAAAAAGCAAGTCAAATGAATTACTCCAGTAAATTATTGCCATGAAAAAAATTAAGTAACACACCAAAGAAATATTTACAATTGAATGAGATTAAAAGACATTTTTGTAACCATCTCCTATTTTTTGTTTTAAATGAATTACAGATTTTTAATAGCCAAGTTAAAGTAAAACTAATAGTTGCCAAGGAATAGGCCCATCAAATAAGGGAAACAAAACTAAAACTATAAAAGGGCAGTGAAGAAATGACGACATTGCCACCATACACCATACCTTCATCCATATCATCATTAAACTCATCATCCCATTCCATATGAGGATGGACAAATTTAGGGGACCCAAAGCCTATTGTAGGAATAGGGTGGAGAGGAAATCAATCAGTCAAGAAAAGGGTTGAAAACTCAAATTATATGTCATCAAATCTTCTAATTTTGGATTTTCAAAAATACAAGAAAACCTAATGATCAGGAATCATTCCTAACTGACATTTAATAATGACTCTAAACTGAAATCTGTTGCAAAATTAAATCAATTAGTGATAAAAACTGAGGTAAAAGGAAGATAATTATGCATCCAAGTGTAAGTTGGCATTCAAGGCTAATGTGAATTAAACGTTTTTTCTTCTTCAAGCAATGAACACACAAGATCTACTATATTCCAAAGAAATAACCAATATTATAAATTGTACCTTTATTACAAGCCTAGTGTGCAACTGAATCTACAGAAGTGATATCAAAGAAACCAACACGTTTATGGCATAGGGTGTTTGAGCAATATAGAGTGTTTGAGCAATACAGAAAACATGCTGATTTTTAGCTAAACTATTAATGTTCAAATTTAATTACTAAATAATTGTATCTTTCTTTGTAATCACAGAAAATACAACGCTTTAATTTAAGTGAGTAAATTACATCATTTATCTAATTTATTAACATCTTTTGTTTCTAAATGTTTTCCTCACATACTTTTCATACTGGTAAATATGTGTTTTGGCAATGTTTTGGTAATAATTTTAATATGAAGATATTTTACTCGCATGTGATTTTCCAATATTTCCTAGAGTCACCTTAAAGAACCCATTACCCATTTTTATCTAACAAGATATTGTGTAAGCTTAGAAACAACCAAATTGTTCATTTAAAAATGATCCTGAAGTGGAATGAGAGTTATAGATATCAACCTTTTTCTTGTCAAAGTGACTGCTCACCCTGGTACAGTAGGTATAAGTTTACAAATTTTGTATACTAGACTAAAAGCAAAACATTATTAAGGCTAATTCTGTACTTAACAAGATGACAGTATATTAATATCTATTCACACTGTTACAGTTTTCATATAATTGAAACATTAACATAGTTGTTATACTACATCATAAATCTAAAGTAATCGTTACATCAAAAAGCTAACAAAAATAACTTTAAAAATTTGACATGCACAACCGACTGAGATCAGTTAGTCAGATTAAATTACTAGTTTATTTCCACTATATACTATTTTTACTTATAATTCTTAGTCATAAAATTTGTTATCAGTCCTTCTCACTTTATATTTTATAAATAGAAGGGTTAAAAAATATTATACATCCTTAATTTATGTTCGTAATTTATAAAATACACTACTCTGTGAGTATTGTCAGATATTGTTAATTTATTATTAGAAAACTTGGAGGAAAATTCTATCTGATTTATTTATGTATCTATCACAATTTCATGATTATTGTTAGTCGCTAATGAAAATGGCCTATATTCTTATGCTAACTGCAAAGTAAAATACATGTTAAAAGGAAATCGGACTAATAAAAATCCTAATTTAAATTTGGACATTTCACATGGGAAAGATTTTGATTTGAGGAAACATCAATAAGCCACCATTGTTACAACATAAGCAGGAGATAAATGAAATATTGTGTTGTAGGAAACACAGAACATAGGCCAGGAGATTTTTGTAGTAAATGAAATGTGAAAAAGTTCTCAATATTCAGGAAGTACAATCTTTCAGAGTGGGTGTAGCAAGTTCAACAATCCTATCACTATTTCATTATAAACAAGACTTTTTAGGAGAAAGTTACTGCTGATTAAGCAATATATTTGTTTTCCAAATATTACATACCTATCACCCACAACTTGTAGCCTAACTAAACATGTGTAAATTTAGTGTTATTTAACACTTTTGAAAAGTGAAGGAAAGAAAAAACATGTGCACTGCAAAAAGATGTCATAACCATAGTATTCTAAAATAGGATAGAAAATTTGAAAGGACAGCAGATGTGAAAAAGCAAATATTGTGACACTAAAGATTTTTTTTTTTTAAGAAAGATAATTACATCAACTTTTTTCAATGATCTGTAGGTGACTTACAAAAATAGCACACAAACTCATTAAAAAAAAATAAATGAGTTTCTTTGACTACTAGTATATCCTTTGAATCTTAACAAACACAAAATATAACTTCCTAAGTCTGCAGCTTTACAAAAACTAAAATGGGGATCACTCTTCACCGAAGAGATATGGCCAGCGGGACAAAGAAGGTTTTATAGAAATTAAAGGAGAACTGGGAATTATAAAGACAATATTACTTATTCTTTAAAGCTATGAAGTCTTTTTATGTTACCAAATTTTTAAAGGATTGTTTTATTCTTCTTTTTCCTAATAAGACCCTTTTATCATCTGACATTTCTGAAAAAAAAATTAAAACAAAAAACCCCCCCACATAACTATGATCCTATGATGAGGCACCATTAGTACTATAAATTATAATAATGTAACTTTTGGGACCAACATCTTTTTTTATAGACCTGTCATAAAAATGTACTTATGTATCATACCTTTAGTATCTGATTCATTTTTTAGCATGAAATGACACTATTGTTAAAAAATCTGCATTCAAAATGAGATGGTGCATTTATATTTTATAAAAGAAAACAAACACTAGCCGTGGAAAGCAGCCTTATCTTATTTTCCCATTTTCCTTTAAACACATCTGAAATACTATAAGTTTTATATAAAATCCTTTCCACCAAAAGAGAAATTTAAAAAAAAAAAGCTCTATAGGTAGAAGCCCCTTGGCACAAATGAAAGCAATCAAGAAATCAAAATTGCAGCACCACCATAATAATACTAGACAAAAGGCAACAGATAAATTTGTTTAAAAAAATGTGTCTGTAGCCAGACAAAGAAAGCGTGTGTTGCCTCCCTTACGGTCATGCAGCGAGATACCCAACTTACCGTAATAATCCCATGGTCCACGGCCTTGAAGGCAGAGATAAATGTTAAAGACACGGCAAGTATTAGATATACACAGTGCACACACAGAAATAATAATTTCAAATATGGAGTTTTTCTTGTGTGCATATAATTTACATCTTACTTCATAAATTGATAATCTATTAGTTCTTAAATACTATCAGGGTAATTATTGTTTAAGGCTAATTAAATTTAAAATCCCAGATCCTAGGCCTACGTGCTTGCTATGTTACTAGATAAATACTTATTTATTCTGGTAACTCAAATGTGGAAAAAAGAACGGGCATACTTCAACGCAGTCAGTTGGTTCTTAGGATGCAATTTTAATGCTTCAACTTTATTATAATATTTTTTTTTTTACTGAAGTTATAAAAAACTTAAATAAAATTAAGGTCCCCAGATTGTATTGATACAGAGTGTTGGAAAACTTGACATTCTTATGCATGATATGCACCTATGATTTGTGCTAAGCTCCAACAGGACTATTCATGTAACAACATATACATTTTTTGGTAGGCTCATGTGACATTTGACAATCTCATAGTTAATAATTTTTTTAGTTCAATGGAGCTTGCCAATATTATATATAATGAGGATTCTTTTCAATAAAATTTTAAATATTATAGGTTTTTTAAAAAAAATCTAAATCACAGTAAATGTATAGACTAGATACATTTCTGACAATTTTAATTTTTCAACAAAAAAAAAAAAGTAACAGATTTTACTGTAGCTTTAATTGAAGTGTAATAAATTGGATGCTGGAAAGAAAGTCTTGATGTATAAGTGTTGAGGTTTCGTGAAAGTCACCATGGGATATCAGTTTCTATAGAAACTAAACCCTATTATGGAGCAAAATGTTTTTTGGATGCCCTAAGGACAGGGTTATATTGAGTTACAAGTGTACATGAATACATTATCCAATTAATTTTACTAGAAATTTTTCCTCCAATAATTAGTTTAGGGATAGGTAGACACAAACATTTTTCACATGGGTTGCAGGATATATACAATAAATTTAAAATTGGAATGCATTTACAAACAGCATACATTTTTCTTCTATATCACCAACAACAGTATGCAAATAACTAATGTTTATTTAAATAAGGTATTAGGTTATTCTGCAAAGAGATTATATTTTTCTTTACCTGTTGCTCGCTTTCAAAATCTTAAAGAATTTACGAGGACATAAACAAGTCCAAGCAATAATTTCAGACTTTTGAAAATGTATTAAGCATAAATCTAATATTACTTTGATGACAGCTGTTAATGGTTTACAAATACCAAGAATTTGCAGCAAAAAATTATAAACCGTGGTCACGGATCTATCTCAAAAGGTTCTGTATTGGCATGATGTGTTTAAAAAAATGTAATCAATGTTTAAAATAACAAAGTCATGGAAAAAAATGGACACTCAAGTAAGGGAGACAACAAGTGCAAAGACAAGAATGAGCAAAATTAGAGTTAAATTTAACAAATGGAAATATTTATGAAATCATTTAACTAGATAACATAATATCCTACTCTTATGTTAGGAAAGACTTCCACTATTATGAGGGTTCTTATTTGGACAATATGGTGCTCATAGTATGTAACAACACTAGAAGTTTCTTATCATTGACCCATGGATAAACGTTATTAAAAAATTAAAACCAGGTCTTAATTGAAACTGAAGTTTTTTTCCTCATTTACAAATGGCATTGTCATTCATTATATTTTTCCGTTAGAGCTCAATTTCTTAATTGAGACCATTCGTTGCTTGTTGGCTTAAAATCCCATGAGGTTTCGGAACTGTCCAATCTAATTTTGCTTTTATAGAGTGGATTGGAATTTCAGATTTCATGTGGTACTTGTCTTAGGCAATAATAATTTTTTTTTTTACCAATAAATATCTTATCTAACATAATTGTTTGGTTGTTCTAGACTGACAAGAGCAGCCATAGATCAAATATCCCTTAATATATTTAATTTAATCCAATGGTATCTCACATTCACCATTAAACGCCATGCATCAAAATAAAAAATAGCATGCTTCTCCTGACCCACATTTTCCAATCTAAATTAAGTGTTTAAATATCTAGACAATATTTTTTAAAATTTTCATTAATTTACTGATGGCTAAGTAAAAATAAAAAAGCACAATATGGCTACTGGTCATATAACTAGCACAGACCAACAATTTGAACACAATTTAATAACTTTTTTTAATGGAAGCCAGTACTTGTGGCAAGCAATTACCAAATTGGCCTTTGAAATGTTTTGGCCATTGTTGCACAATACACACATCAATATTCCAGTTACTTTTGAGTTTTACAAAGAATTATAAATAACATCAAGTCTTAAGTTTAAAAAAAAAAATGGTAACAAAAATAAAAAGCTTCCTTTTATTTGAGTACTGCCACTTTCAGAAGGTTCCTGATTATTAGATGATAACTTTAATAAAACAAATAATTGGGTACAATGCATACATCAAATTTATGTAAATCATATTTATGTTATAAACACACAGAAACACTGACCATTTCTAGTTATAACAGGCAACACTACACTTAGACTATTTTTAACATATTAAAATAACACAGTTAAAAATGTTTGGTTAAGATTTTCAGAATATAACATGAATAAATTTGATCCTTTAGAAGTTAAAATAATTAATCAATTTTGTTCAGCTGTAGTTAAGCACAAAATCATTTTTGAGCCTGTGTTATTTAAAATGGTTGAGCTACACATAAGGCAGCAAGCAGCCGGCACAATAAACTGACTAGATGGCATGAAAGTGCAGGTGCATCTATCCACAATGTACATCAAAATTAGCAACAAGAATACAAGAAGTTAAGAGACAGGCTTAATAAATTGTACCAGTGTACAAATAAAACAAATTTGATAAAAAAAAAACAACCAGTCCCTGATTTAAATTCAATTTAAATGCTACCAGAGGTCCTTCTAAAGATATGTCCTTGAATACATATGTTAATAGCATGATAAAAATCTATTTAAAACAGGGTGCACAAAACAGACTGAGTAAACCGATTTTTTAAAGTGAATTGGCACAAAATATTTAAGTGTAAAAGACAGAGAGACATGTCAAAAATTAATTTTCATATTCAGGTAGACACAAGCTTTATACAATATTTTCAGCAGTTCCCTAGAGTAAAATGGGTTCATACACGTTAACAAACTACTCACTTCCGTGAGAATGAGATCGTTTTCTCCTTCCTAATATGAGAATAGACAAGGTAAGGATTGCAATCAAGATTCTTGTTAAATTTGTACACGAGATAAAGATATTGAATTTGGGCCCAAGTGTAGTGCTCAAAACACGTATACATTAGTTATATTTTAAATTACATTTTTAGCAAACAAACTTTGAGCTAAGGAAAAAGAAATATAATGAATGAGCTCTCAATTTTTTTGGTCACAATAGCTTAATATCTTTATGAAAATTTCACAGCCAGGGTGCAATTTACAATTAATAAGTTTGAAAGAATTAAAACTAACGTTAGTATTGACAATTTTAAAAATGAGATTTATTTTTAGTCAGGTAAATGTATCATTATTTTTTATCAAAACAAAACCATAAGCTTATCAGTTATCAAAAAAATTTAAAAACAATCCAGACCTACAAAAATGAGTACCAATAACTGTAAAGCTAATGATTAGAAGAACAATGATTAGCCTCACACACATCTCAAAAGCAAGATAAGATATGTGTAAATAATGTGAGTAAAAAGTCAATACTTGAAAACACTTACCATCCTTTTCAATAGGCTCAGGGTTGATAGTCTGTGTTTCCTTACTGTAGGCTACATTTTCCTTTGGTGGGATGTTAGTTTCATTGACTTTGACAACTGAAAGTTGAATATTCCTTCTCTTGGAGCTTAGATACATATAATAAAGAAAATACAAAAAAAGAATGATTGACAAAAACAAAAGATTTATTTCTTAACAACTTTTTTCTACATATTAAAACAAAATTATAACCAAAAATGTACATTGAAATGAAACTCATGTAAAGAACAAGAATTGTTTTTACAATGTACAAAATAATAACCTTGCAAGAGTAACTGGCAATGATGCTACTTCACCAGAACTTGGAGAGCTTGTCACTGATGCATTTATTGTTTGCTGTGCAGAAGGCTCTGGAGATCAAACAAAATGACCACAGTTTTTAATAAATAATTAAAATAAATATGATATTATTTATCATTTACAATTGCACATAAACTGAGCGGGAAACTTCACTAAAGCTGTGAAAGACATTATCTCAAGTGTACCCATAGATGCCATGTGATAATATTTAAAGATGTAAAGCTAAAAGAGACTACTATATATATTATTTCACCTGTTATAGATATACCTAAATCCCTGAATAAAGCATCAGGATCTGATGAAGTCCCACTTGGACTAGATTGTGATACTACTTTTACTGGTCCCTGAAAAAATAGTAGCAACTTATTTTCAGAGTAACAACACAGATATTAAAATGTATTTTACAATAACTTAACAATGAACATTTACTAAATAATTACTTACATGAATAAATAACAGAAATGGTCATCACAATAGGAAAATTGGACAAGAAACTGTGTCATTAAATTTCTCAATAATGATTCCCTACTTACAAGACATATGCCTAAGCAAAGCAATTGACAAAAATAATAACACATAATGATACATAGGGGACATAGGCCTATTTTATTAATCATTTAGTGACATTGTCATTGAATATCATCTTCACTGTGACAGTATGATGAGTATGACTAGGCTTGGGTCTAATACTTTAAAGTAGGAATATAACTACTTTGTATAGATTAATCTGTCTAATTTCCTTTAATTTGCTATGAAATATTGTTATTTTGATAAGAAAATGCTATTCAAAATTCATTTAATAAATTAGACTCTAAAAAATTTACAAACTGGTCTGGCACAAATGTGCAAACCCCTCTGGCATGAAAGGCGTTAATAGTGATCTAAAGGATAAAATTCCAGGTACACTTTTGTGATGATGATTTGTGTGTGTGTGTGTGTGGTGGGGGGGGGGGGGGGGGTTTAAGCAATGTAACGTCATATGAAAAACTTAATATTGTTGTAAAGAATAGCACTTAATAAACATACAGACATTTTTAACATTATTCTTTTAAAAAACAATTATGATTATTTTATTTTTAAACTAGGATCCCTGAGAGAATCAGTACAAGTATGCGAGGTCTGAGAAATGGCCTCTGATCAAATTACTGGAGGAGGAGTGGTGTAGTTACAATGACAGTCGTGAAAATTTATGTCTAAATGTGGAGACGGGAGCCATAGGATTAGGACTACCATGTGAAGTGGGATGGAACGAAAAAAAATGGTTGACCAGGGGGAGGAGGATGGGATCTTAGTAAATGCACTAGTCAGGGATTCTTAACCTTTGTGCAGCGCTGCCGGGCCACTATGTTTTAAAGTGGAAAGAAAAAAAATGGTTGACCAGGGGGGGGAGGATGGGGTCTTAGGAAATGCACTAGTCCGGGATTCTTAACCTTTGGGCAGCGCTGCCGGGCCACTATGTTTTAAAGGCCCCCCCCCCCCAGAACCCTATAAATTATATTGTAATAGAATTAAAAATATAAAAATAATTTAGTTATCACAGTTTTATTTCTTAAATTAACTTTTTATAAACAAGGAAATAAATTACCAATACCAGTAATGCGCTAACAAAATTCAACAGAAAAAAACATTTGCAGCTGCTAATCAAAATGCAAAAAAATTGATTTTTTAAAATTTTTTTTTAAAAAGCAGCAAAAACTAGCAATGAGGGCAAATACAATTTTCTGGTCTTCCACGCCTCATGGCTAGGGTGTTATCACTGGTTAAGAACCACTGTTCTAGTGAAATATTTCTGATGCAGGTGCAGTAACTTCCTATCTATGGGAGGTGAAATTCTTAAGGGTTTGTAAAGGACAGTAGTGGACACAGTAATTTGTAACGTTTAATTGGGAGAGGGGGGAGGGGGGGTCTAACTTTTTTTAGCGATGATTTATGAACAATGGGGGGGGGGGGGTCTGGTGGGGACAGTGACAGTGCATACTAAATCAGTAGGTTAAGGCATAGGGGCCGCTACTCAGTGAACCCCACAATCCAACACAGTAACAGTAACTTAACATAAATTTTAGGACATAAACAAGTAAATGACGTCATGGCGCGCACTGCCTGTTTTAGCCAGAAATAGCAGTGAGTTAATTACCAATAGCTGCCTGAAGCAAAACAAAATTAAAACTAGGCCTTCTTTAAAGAGCTTTTTAAAAAAATGCTATCTACCTTATAATTAATCATATGAATTAATATGAACATTATTTATGATTAATAATAATAATATTCTGATACTGATCAGGATCATGACCATGACTATAAAATTGATTGAGATACCTCTTTTTTAGCTATCTCCTTTTCTTTTCGTTCTTTACGAAGCTGTTCAATTTGAGCTTTCTTTCTAGCTATTTCAGCTCGCCTGTCGGCCATGTTAAATAATCACAAATATGTTATTTTGCTTGTTTCGATCTACTGCTCCAATAGATCTAATGTCTGCAGTTGATGTGAGTCACGGCATTTGCTCCGGGACTGCTGATTGTAATAAAGTTCACCCTTATTACCGAGATTTGAGATCAAACCGAGATAAATCTTACATGGTTTTTGTATGTGTAAAATAAAATTATATATATATATATATAGGCCTATATATATATATATATATATATATATATATATATATATATATATATATATATATGTTCTAAGTGAGGTTTATACATTTTTTAAAAGAATAAAAATAAAAAAATATATATATTATATTGTTTTTATATATATAAAAAAAAAATATATATATATATATATATATATATATATATATATATATATATATATATATATATATATATATATATATATATATATGTTCCAACTGAGGATTAGCCAAATTTTAAAAGATTAAAAATAAACTTAAATATGAAGCTTTACACCAAATTTCTCGGTATGATGGCCGGAACCTAGAAACAATTAATCGTCATTTAAAAAGTATACATGTAATTTGTAATAGTCTACGTTCATGCCGTGTGAAGGTATAAGCTTGCACATATGCTATTCTTCTATGATACTACTGTCTTATTTAAAACGTACAAAATTAATTATAAAAGAATGTCAATCATGCCCACCAAGAGGCTGTTGCAATGGATGCAAATAACCAATAATTATTTGAAAAGAAGCCCAAAACTGTGTGTATTTAAATATCTTTAACTTCATAACAAATCATTTTGCTCGAATACACAGGGAGAGCAATTAAGTGATAAATGAAGTATAGTTTCGGTTATATATCTATTACAAATAGGTCTAAAGCAACTCGAAGTCAAATTGATCAATAAGGGAAATGAATTAAAACTTTTAAAACTGTTTCCGCAAGAATTGTTGATGTGTATTACACTTTCTGGTGTGGTCATCCAGCGCTCTGCGCCAATGACCTTACTTGGCAATATTTTGTTATTCGCGTGGATGTTTTAGTAGTTTGATCGATGTCGGCATTCTCAATGCATGATTTTTTTGTCCACTTAGCGATGATACCCTGGTTGCGTGAACCATCCATTGCGATCTTGATCCATATGAACAAGGGTTACCACAAGTAGGCCTACTCTTAACTGTTAAAAATGTTACTGATAGACAAATTTTGAGGACATTTTTTTTTAAAGTGTAAGGGTGGGGGGGGGTGAATTTTAAAAAAAATCTATGAACTTGAAGCTGGCAAGAAAATTTCAAATATCCGTACGACTATGTTTCTGTGACTATAATATGTCTACATTACATGACTCTAATTAATATGATCATGAAGCATACGCCTATTTAATAAAGCTAGTATATTGTACGACATTATCATCAGAATTGCAACGTGAATCTAACCCGATTATGACAATTTTTTTTTAAAGGAAAGTTAAGTCACAAACGCCGAGATATCCCATTTTGTGTCACTTCCAAATATTTTTTTTAGTCTCATTCTAACGGACTTTTACGGACCTGTCAGTTTGGGTCAATGTTAATGGACTGTCTTTTACGAAATTTTGGTGACCGTGATAGGAATCCAAACTATATCACATTTTCCAGAGAGCTGTTAAAAACATATAATTAATAGGCCTACATAAAAATTGACATTGTTACATCGATCCTAGCATTTTCACATGACCTGCGACTTTCTTGGGCTGGTTTTGAGGTATACGGTGCTGACAGTCTATCAGTCTATCTCTTCCCGAACGTTGTATTACCTGCTAGAAATCAGTTCAATCTTATCGACCAAGTCCATTAACTATGAGGCGAGAGAGTGCACCACTGGTTTAGTCTCACTTTGAGAGGCTTAGTCACCTGGTCATTGTGGAGAGTTCTACAGTCAAATCATTATAGAGGCCAATTGAGACAACTCATAGAGATACATTCTCTTCATAAGTCGGCTGTACAAATATTTCCCGTCGAGCAGAACTTTCACACAACCGGATTGTTTCTGTCGTAGCATGTTCTCCGCTGTTAATGTGACTCATTGCAGTCAGAAAAGAAAACCGTGCATGTCCGATTTTCCTTTTTATGACGTTTATGCTTATGTCCTTCCATGTCATTATTATGGCTAATGTGCTTCAATACCCTGCAGTATAAGTTGTTGAGTGCATGGCACCGAGGTATCACCGAGGTAGCTCCTTAAAAAATTCAATACACTGAAAGATGTTAAAAAAATAACTCAAATACCCGATTTTATTTAATTTGCCAGTTTGTCTGTCTGTTTGTCTGGGTCAATTTTTGCATCCCAGTTTTGACCCACTTCGTGATCTCCAATTGAGCTGAAACTTTGTACACTCCCCACTCCCCGATGACATACAACCAGGCCATAAGGCATAATGAGTAAATCATAATAAAGACTAAAAAGTAATAACTAAAATAACATTTTAAAAAGTACTTAAAAGCAGGCTTTTCAAAAAATATACGGAGTATTAAATAAATGCCCCCCAAAATTTCAGAGTTGTTACAGTCATATGACTGAAAAAGTTTATAGAATTCAACATTGGTAGTCCTCTTGTATTTTTTTTTTTTTTACTGTACTTGCTATTAGTTTAGTGAGGAATTAGTAGTCGACACTAAGTAGGGAGATTCCTATATAATCTAAGCACTGCAAGCTGTATTATACATTTTGTGTAAATGTTTTGGAGTTTTCAGTAGGCCTACATTAACCTAGTCAGTTGGCATTTTCTTTCTTAACTGCCAACTTCTGGTTTCTTGGTCATGTATTTAACCATGCAGTTTTTTTTAATGGCCTTTTAATGTTTCCATCTTTTAACTTCAGTTAGGGCAGCGGTTCTCAACCTGTGGGTCGCGACCCCCAAAGGGGTCGCGCGACCCTTTTCCAGGGGTCGCCCAAGACCATCTGAAAACATATATACTTACAGCTATGAAGTAGCAACGAAAATAATTGTGTGGCTGGGGGTCGCCACGACACGAGAAACTGTATTAAAGGGTCGCGGCACTAGAAATGTTGAGAACCACTGAGTTAGGGCATGGTCACATGTCGGTGCAATTTAATGTTTAACATTCCTTCTCTTCACCGTCTAAATCATAAATTCTTTCTTTTACTGCAGGGCCTGCATGAATCCATTGCAACACCCGGTTGCATACCCAATTCATAAGGTGTAAGTGTTGTTGCCAGTATAGAATCTCACATATATTTTACTTCTGGTTCGCCCTGTTCACTCTTCAAAACTGCCTTCCACCAACTCCATATGTTTTATATCAATAGGGAAAAAAGGTTTTCATGCAGCGAGTTTCATGCGCGACGTCTGAACTCCTGTAAAAAAGTTGGGGGTTTTTAAGAGGGAGGCGACTATTATTCTGTGTTGTTATTGTTCGTATTCCTCTGTCACGCAGCGAGCTTCATGCTTTACGTCTGAACTCCGGTAAATAGGTTTCTTTAGAAAGATTTTTGTTTTTGTTTTTGTTTAAATGTCACTATTTTTTTCTCATCTTTGGTCTTGGGATGCACATCAAACAGAAGTGGGTCATGGACCGTCCTTTCACTTTGGGCGTGTGCTCGCATATGAGTTTTTCCCATGGGCTGGTACAGGAAGGGATGGCTATTTTCGCGAAAGTGTAACTGGAGTTTCATAAGTTTTTTGTTTTTTTTAATGAACGACAGTATCTGCTGTGTAGACAACGTCATGTCTATTCCGAGATCCGGCAACTGTCTGTCCCTTTCAGTGGGTTATTTCTCGACACAAATTAAATGGTTGAAGAAAGCAATGCACTCTCAGTGCGACAAAGGGCAGTACATTTTTAACACTTGAACACACCGGGTATTTTCTCAAAATACCCAGAACCGGTGAAAAAAAAACTTCACCCGGTTAAGCCCTAGTATTAATAATTACAACAACCTCAATATATCTCAGTCTATTAGCTGATTTAGAAGATTTTTAAAAACATCTTATCAGCTCCTCACAACTGATATTATTTCCCTGGTTCTGCGTACCTCAGTTCTGCGTACCTCAGTTCTGCGTACCTCAGTTCTGCGTACCTCGGTTCTGCGTACCTCAGTTCTGCGTACCTCGGTTCTGCGTACCTCGGCTCTTTGTAGAATGTGATTTATGTGAGATCATCAGGTTCAAAAGAGGAAGTAAGAGAGATATATTTTTTGAGGGTATGCCCATTGATGCAGGAGAGGTATTTCTTAGATAAAGGGCAACAATTCCATTTCTCTAAATTTTAATGCTGCTCTGTTCGTTCCCTTGTTGCTACACCATGAACGCCATAACGACAAGCTATTAATAATTTGTTACAAAACTTACAACAAAATTTAAGAGAACAAATTCTTTTAAATTTATATTTGTATTTATTTACATCCTATTTCGTAGAAAACTTAGAAAATCATTTTAAAAAAGAGGTACAAAATAATTGTTGGTTATAAAAAAAACGAATATTAAGACATTACATACATAACAATTCATGCATGCGTGTATTCTTCATATAAAACAAATACAGTAAATATAAATATATCATTGATGTTAAATTATTCATTATTCTAAAACTTGAAAAAAAATAATGTATTCAATTCAACAATGCTATCGTTGCTTTGACTCATTATAGAATATAAAAGATACAAGAGGCTGACGAAGCGATCTTAAGGACACCTTTCGTAACATATCACATACACAATATGTACACTGTGGATTATAAAAACACCTTACAGGCAATAACGTAGTATTTACAATGAGTATAGCGTGTATTAAAAAGAAAAAATACCGAAGTATTTTTAATGAACACTAATATTCTTATTGGAATGCCGTTTAAAATATTTACCCCTTTTCAAAATACAGAAATGTCAATGAATCACAATTGAACATATTGTAACAATGAAATGGAAGCTATATCAAAAGTTATTCAAATGTGTGTGAGTCCTTAATGACGCATAAACCCTATTTAATAATAAATATATTTAAGTGTTATTGATTAAAATCTAAATTATTTTGAGCACAATTTCTAAGAAACTACTCTCCAAACAGATAATCAGTTATTCAGCGCCTTAGGTCTAACATCTCGCAAAAGTATCTTGCAGTTAATTATAGATTTATTTGTTTGTGAATTGTACTTATACAAATCCTTCAAGTCAATGAAATAGAAAGCCGATTGTCTCTCTACTTATATGACCAACCAATAATAGCTTTATTCATTCTTTTGTTGCTTTGTGTAATTGTGTTGTCCTAAAGTTATCAAGTACTTTTTAGCGTTAAACACTCCTTTTAGTGTTTTCTATATAAAAAAAAAATACTTATTTTGTTAGTTAGATAGACCGACTTCCTTTTCCTTTGGGAATTGTTTAAGACTAGTTAATATCGCAGGCCAGATGTTTTCCCTTGGTTAAGATCACAGTTGACATTGGCCGCCCAATCACATACCGCGTCCCTCGAGTTCCAGAGTGTTCCAGGCGAGCACTGAAGTTTGTAGGACACGCCCCAGCTACACATGTAGAACGAGTTGCAGTCCTTGGGATCGCTGTGGTAACCGAATAGCCCTGGGCACTTGAAGTCTGAGGGGGGGACATAAATATAACAATAAATGGATTGCATGAGTCTTTCGCAGTTGTAACCAGCAAGAAGCCGGGGTGTAACTGTAACCCGTTATATAAATACATTTGTGAGTTCAATATTTTAGAAAGAGAGATTGTGTTATAAATGGAGAGAGAAAGAGAGAGTGAGAGAGAAAATTGGCGTCGTAATGAACTAAAGTTCATTAACTAACTACTATAAATTTACCAAAGCTTCTCCTGCCTCCATTTAAGGATGCTGCCTTGAATCGATTACAGCGCTTACTTGACAATAGTAATGACAATACAATAATACGTGCAGTAATCATTGCATGAAAAACTGAGCTTACCTTCTGCTGGGACACTGCCTGGTGCCATCTCAGTGTCTGGGAAACTGCTTGGTGCCATCTCAGTGTCGTCTCCCCGAGTTGCCAAGTTCACCACAGGGGCGTCAATTGTCGGATTAACAGTCGTGGTCTCCACCTTATCAATACCCCATTCCTCTGATGCCCTGCCGATGACTTCGCTTGCTGCAAAATTTCCGAAATATCTTCGGTCATCGGTCAACGTCGAAAATTTACTCTTTTTGACATTGACATTTGTAGGTTTTCTCCATTTTCTGGAATGATCCTTGGCGAAGAAGTCGTCTGCGCTATCGTCCTGGTCCGATGATCGTTTGCCGCCCAAGTAGCCGGTCGTTTTATAATCGTTCAAGGTTTTGGCATTAATATCGTGGGTGTTGTAACTGGCAAGATCAATGTGTGGCGGGAGTCCGAAGGCGTGAATTATGGTTGGTGCATGGTTTTGCTCCTCCAGAACCCTCCCGTAGTAACCCTGGCTGAACCTATCGCCCCACTGCTTGGCGTGGGCTTTCCTCATGGGCTCAAAGTGCATGCTCCCCTGTCTTCCTCTGAGCAGCTCGTTCAGCTTCGTGATCCCGAATCTGTATTTCTGTTTTTGGAACTCATTGTTTACTCTCTGCTCCAAGTTTTTAACGTGTGCAGGCCACGGTCTTGCATTCCATAGATAGTCTTTTCCACTCGGTTGCATTAGATCGTCACGGTGCTTGTTATTAGAACCTGGATATGATTGGAATCTCGAGCCGTGTGTCATTTCTCTTTGGCGCTCAACCTTTTTCTTGCCAAGCTCTATGTTAAATGCCTTCCATGGATTGACAGTGACTTTTTTGGCCTTATTCCTGTCACCGTCGTTCATCCAGTTCGATATTCCGGCTGAAAATGGACTGGATTCGGGTTTCACTCTGCTTCTAATGCTCGGGTGGTAAAAAAACCGACCGGGCCCTTCCTCGTTCATCGTTCCGAGCTTGCTGTAAGATCTATCGAACAACTGTAATGGCAAAGCTTCATCGGCATCAAAAGAACTGCGTCCTCTGAATTTCTCGGCTCTTTTCAACTCATTTTCAATGGTTTTCGCCCAGTTTTTTCGACGCGCTACTGGAGTGACAGCAACGCGGTTCTCGTCCCTATCATCATCGTTCATATCAGTTGTGCCAATGAAGAAAATTTCTGATGAACCTGTGACAGATGTCGACGACTCCTCTTCAAAAGGCACTGCCGTAGTTTCTATTTGAATCGCTTCACTGACAGGATCTGAAGTTGTGTAGCCGGAATCTCCCAGAGGTATCTGATAGCCGCCTGATGCTCGGCCCATCTCAGAAAAATAAGAAATGACATTTTTGTCGGATGACCTATCTCCTTCCGTTGAGGCGCTTTGATACATTATATTTCTGGTATCTGCTGTATCCACCAATGGCTGTGTGTTAATTTCTGTAACGACCACTTTTGGAATTTCCTGCAAGGTTTGACTTTCTCGTGAATTAGCCATCAGGGAGTCGTCAGTGGTCAGATCGTTGACATTCGTGCGGGCGCCATCTGTGAACCGCGATTCGTTTAAACCTTCCCGGAAGGAAGTTTCAGGATTTATTTTATTATCAAGCAGAGTCTCGTTTGCCAACTTGAATTCCGTCGCGTTACTTTGTACAGGGTTTACTGTTTCATCATCAGAGTGACTGTCATTTATTTCAATTGAATGCCTTTCATTTAATAAACTCGTGTTCAGCGTTTCGTAGAGTACTCGGGTAATATCAACAGAAGTTTCATTCTTTTCAAGATCGAAACGGCCATCTTCATCATTTATTTCACGGACAGTAACATTGTGATTCTCGGAGTCAGATCTGTTTCGGTTACCATCGTTCAATCCCGTGTCAATGACAACATTGCGACGCAGCGTTTCATTCACGTGAAAAGCTTCTGAAAGCGCATGTGTTAAATTTTCCTGAGCATATGCGTCATTTTGCAAGTGGGCTTGTTTTTTCATCACGTTTTTATCATCCAAAACTGAATCATTCAATGCGTCAAGTTTGAGATTTCCTGTGGTACCGTTATTTTCTGTCAAATGTGTTTCATTCAGAAGACCGAGGTTTAAATTTTCTACAGTGGCTGACTCGTTGTTAGAATAGTCTATGCGTGAGGCTGTGTTGATCTGTGCCAAAATATTAGCATCTCTGCCAGCGTTATCGAGATAATTTAGACCTTGTCCTTCGATAGACACTGCTGCTGTTTTGACTGCCTCGGTGTAATTTTCGGTCTCGTTAAACAGTGGTGAAAATGTATGCTCAAGAATTGTGTTTGTTGAAACATTTTGTCTATCGGTAGTTGTATTTTCACGTCCATAGAGGATTGTCTGATTGTATTGTTCATGGCGGGAACTAGTTGACAATTGGCTGAGTGTGGAACTTCTTGTCTTTTCTTCGTGTATTCGTTTCAGAGATTTCATGACCGGCTGGCCAAGGAAAGAGTTGTAAACTGATGATGAGATGCCTCTGTGGTTTCCTCTGACGATCGAGATAAAATCTCTCTCTGGTTGGGACAGCTGGGACGGCTGTTCTTTTCTCCAGCTTCGCACATCCTTCTCTGAGTCTGCGTTACCCGATGAGCCGTCCAAACCCGAAACAATGTACGTCTCTGGCGTCATTTCTTGGCCCTGATCAACATCGACCTGATATAACAGGGGTGAGGTCGGCATCACCGGCTCGGGGTTGTAAGGTGTCTGGTAATGGACGACGATATCGTCGTTATTGTTTCTGATCTCTAGTGGCAATAGATGAGTGTCAAATGTTGCTGCTACTCTGGAAACGTGGAGTTCTTGTGGCTCGTGTAAAATTCCGGTGATGTTGTCAGTTAGAGGGTGCCCACTACTGATTTCGGTAACATTGTTATCTTGATTGCCTGTGGGGGTGTCCAAATGAGAGCGCACAGCACTCTCTGTGGTAAGATTGTTGACTTGATAAGGTTCACTTCTGCCTGATGTAATTTCGTCGTGTTGCAGCTGCTCACTGCTGGTCTCGTTACTAATGGTCATCTTGTCTATTCCTACGCCGTATGTGGTAATGTTGTCAGAATGGAACAGTACACTGCTCAAGGTGGTGTCATTGGCGACTTTAATACCTTCCATGCTGCTTATGGTAATATTCTCAGTTTGAATGTTTACACTGCTAAATGAGGTGACGTTGTCACTTTGGAGAACTACAGTGACGCGTTTGGGGATATCTTTATCTTCCAGGGTTTCATTTCCCTTAGCGCTCATCGATTCATTCCTGACATATAATTTTTCTTCCATTTCTTGGTTTTTACTTCTTGGTGTACTTTCTGAGACCGATTCGTTACTTGAATATTTAGAAACACCAAGATCGCTGAAATTACCCAGCAATGTAGAATTAAATGTCGAGATGGGCGAAGAAGATGCATCACTGCGGTTGAGATTGGCGGACAAATTCATGATCGGTTCAGAATTCAGAGATTCTTGCTGTACACTCACCACGTCGTGGGTTCTTTTATTGAGAATGAAGGTTTTGTCTTCCGGCATCGAATCAAGTGGTGTCACATATTCGGGAATGTTGTCTGCAGTGCTGTCTGTGTTGTACGATGCATTTATGTTTGTTGACCTGGTTGTGGCATTTAGGGAAATCGATTGACTTGAGACATTACTTTGATCAGAAGTATAGTCAGCTGGATTCGGTGAACTTAAATCTCCGTCTTGGAGTTGAACGGTTGTAGAATCCTCAATGGAAGCAGACGTGACAGCTTCCATCACCGTCTTTGTATCATCACGTGACCCCGGCAGGTCCTGGCCATATCCTGACAATGTAGGATTTACATAATATTCATATTTTGATTCAACGGCATTGCTGAGAACACTATATCCGCTTGTTGTTAGCTGAGGTGAATCTTTTTCGACTCCATAACTAATTAAATTGTTCTCAATCTCTGCAATATTATCTGCTACTGTGGCTGGCCTCTCGACACTGTTCAAGCTTTTGGAAGCCTCGTCCTCTTTCTCGGCCCCGTGAATGATATGGTTTATTTCGTCTATATGAAAATAATTGCGTGCATTATCGTCTGTCAAGCTGGATGCCTTTTGCAAGTTTTCGGACAAATCATTTATCAAATTGGATTGGACCGCATTGTTATCTCGGATAATGTCATTGGTTAGTTTGACTTCTTCGCTTACATTGCTTGTCATGCCAGTTTTCTTTGCATCGCTTTGATCGTCTGTAGCTGATGCTGCGTTCACATATGGTCCGAAAAATTCATCTAAGTTTGAGATTAATTCTGTGTTCCAGCTGAAATGTTCGAAAGGGGTAATGGGTTGGGCTTTATCCGCATTGTCCCGTGCTATCTCCCTTTGTTCTTGTTTGGTCGAGTTACGACTTGATTGTGGCTGCTCTGTAGTCGTGCTGTTCTCAATTAATGACACGGTTTCATTAATCCTGCTGAAATTATCCTCCTGTGTAAGCTTGCTGGTTTTAATCTTCAGCCCCATGTCATCAGCTACAAATTTCTGTTCCTGTAAGCTTTCATGAGAAGCCGTTGGGAGAAATCTCTGAGCACCCGAACTAGTTGTAGGAATACTATCTCCCACAGACGCGTTTGTTGTTTTGTGTAGTGCTTTCCTCTCATTTCCTAGACTCGAGGAATCTTTATCTTTAGATAAGTTTAAATGTTGGTGATTGGGCTTCTCTCCTTCCGTGCTTCCAAAAACATTTGATTTCTCAGTAGCAGGTTTCATGGATGTGTGAAAGGAAATCTGTTGAGGAGTGGTTGCGCTTGACAGTTGACTACTGAGGCTGGAGGAAGAGCTTGGTCCTTGTTTATAGCCATTCAAAAAGCCGCTCGACGTGTTTTGATCCATAACGAATTCAAATAAATCAGACTGGTATTCAGTTCTGCTGGGCAGCATCTCCTCTTTTGGAAAGCGTCTCTTCAGTTTCATGTCATATCCGGTTTTCCTGCGCCTGCCAGCTGAAAGTTTGTCAGTGTTGTACCTTTGTTTGAGCTCGGCTTTACGGTCTTCTCGTCGTCGCTTCGTTCGTGTCAATGACTCTTCACTGGTGGCATCGGCCTTCAAGAGCGACCTGGAGTACAAGTTATTTTTTGGACGCTCAATGCCTATAGATTTGACTTGGATTTGGTTTTGTCTGACATCGTTGCCAAGGCTTCCGGTTTCTGTGTCTGAGTCTACATTAAATGGTAGGTTCTTGCTCCTGGCGTTGTCTGGTTTTATTAGATTTTCGTGTGACGACATTGACTCAAGACCTGAATTTAAAATGTGTTTGCTAAGATCTCTGTTTGAAACTGTGTACTCTGAGAGTGAGCTAAGCCATTCTTGAGTGCCATTAGCGTTGGCAGGACTTGCATCTGATTGGGGTGACCACGGGTTACTAATCGCACGTTTGCCCTGTTCTAGACCTGCGAACTCTATATCCCTTCCATCGGTGTACATACTATCATCTCTCTCGTTCATCTTATCCAGCAACGACATGTGATATCTGGCCACTGAAGTGTGTTTCAGACCGCGCTTGATGTGAGCGGGGTTTCTGGCCTCCAGTTTCTTTCTGCCCGGGAGGGAAATTCTTGGACTTGACCCCAGGGGTTCAGCTTTAGTTTGTCCTATCGTGTTAAAGTATGATATGGCGACGGGGGCTGCTTCCACGCGCACCGTCTCCACCGTTGGCAGCACGTTCTCCATATTGACAGTGGTGGTTTCGGCCGTCTTCCCCCGCTTACTTTTCGTGTCGTTTGCTATTACGTCACACAGGGTTGGAAGGTCGATCTCAGCTAGAAGCTGCAGCATCAGCTCGACTATAGAGGCTTTATCTGTTGTAAGACATGATTTAAATTACATCATCATGTTTGTTTACCGGGATATATATTTAATTAAATTAATCGATACGAGAAGAAATGCATTTATTTATGAACCAGTTTTAAAAGTTGAAGAGAAAATTAGATGGGTTGAAAATAACTGAGAAATTTGATTTTCTTATGGATATAATTGTCGCTAAATATTTGTGTAGAGCCAGTTCTTAATAAATCAATTAAAATTTTATATTTTCATTATTTAATTTTGATGTTTATTCTTCTTATGACAAACAATGGTTTTGTCACCGTTAAGCCCTGTTTTAACTCTCATCTCTTTTTTCGAAGCTCATTATCTAAACACATTAGTAGGCCCTACTCTCATTCAAATTACATAGTACTGGCATATTAGGTTTGTATAGCATTTAAACAAATAAAAGTTCAAGTCACCTTCTGCGGTTCCTGGTAAATTTTTCGTTAGCAGAGCTTGCAGGTCCGTTAAGTCGGTGTCTCCGTTGCTCAAAGTTCCAATGGGAACGGCTGAGCTGGTCTCCAACCCAAAGATCATCAGTAAAAGAAGGCACTGTCCCGGTACCCACATCTGAATAAAGTATCATATATATTTTTTAAAACGTTTCATTAAATTAATGATTTCGTTTGTAAAAGAATGGATTGTTTCCTTGTTTGGTAGTTAACATAATAGACTACACACCATCCCCTTGTTCTCCATTGGTCGCATAGCAACTTAGTTTGAGCAGCCGACCGTTGTGCCAGATAGGATTAATGAAACAAGATGGATTAATTCATGGTGAAACATTATTTGTTAGCACAACTGACAAAGCCGGGGCATAAGGATGGGTCAAACGAGGTAATTGTCTTGTACATTATCAAATTTAATACCTCTATCTTCTCTCCTTACCTGGGAGTTAAGTACTCCCCTTTATTTTGGCAGTGTAGTCTGCCTCTTTTTCTTGGGGCGGGGTAATTACGGGGCTATGACACCATGTTACTTTAATCACCCAGAACACAAGAACACTACTTAGAATAGGCCGAGTGTTTTGAATGCATAAAAAATGCATTCTTGCATCTCAACAGACAAAAAGCTTTCTTATATCACTGGTTATCGTTTTGAATACCTGATCAAGCAATTATACTAATTAAAGGCGATCAAATCAAAAGCGTCCAACATATATTTACAAATAATAGTTTAATGAACGTCTTAACATCATGTAATTTGAGGTTTCAATCGAGGCTTATTAGTAATGAAACGTTAAGTTAGTTTTTGGTATGACTTAAATTGTCTGCTGAGATTGTTCTTCAAAGAGAAATACACAACTCGGATAATACAGATAAAATTCAATCTTACCTTTGTGAATCCCATTCTCCAAAACTTGGAGATTTCGGGTTATTTCGGTGCAAGCAGCAGATGCTCTTTAATCCTTGGTTATTTAATTCCTTGAACTGAGATGTAGAAAGTAGCCAATGACAGTTCTGATATTTTATTGTGATTATTGCTGTACCTCTGTTTCGGTTTCAAGCAACTCACTGGTTATTATATGACTTCAATGGCATCGGGGGGTGTAAAAATAATGTAATAGATCTCAATGATAAGATTTCTGTATAGACTTCCCAGCGCGTCAAATTGGTGCTAACTAAACGTATAGTCCACACACGGGATATTGCACTTTTCAATGTTACCTAGACAACGGCTGAACACATTGCACGCTGGACATAGACACTGCTGTGGAAAGCCTGTCGATGTTGAGCACAAAACAATGAATTCTTAGATGCTAGTCCCTTGGATGTCCGAAGGTTTCTGTCGGCTCTACTGAAATCCCGGCTGTTTTATCCACGACAGAAGTCCAGAACGAACATTAAAAAAAACCACCCTCTAAACAAAACGCCTTTTCTCGCATCCCTGTCAACAAACTTTCCCCCACACTTGCTGCACCAGCAGTCCTCTCTCTCTTCTTAAATTTCGTTTATTTGCTTCGTTTTGTTTAGCACACACCGTGGGGTCTTAAATAGTTTGGAGAAATATTTTGTTGAGGTAAAATTGCACACATTGTTCCCTCCCATCTTAGTCCTTGTTACCGTCCCCCGAGCAACAAAAAACCAGAGTTCTCCTCCCCTTCCATCACCTCCAAATGCAGGTCGCAAACATGCTCCGTTATTGGAAGAGCGTCGGTTTTTGTGTGTGCTAAAGAAGGGATCCGTGTTTGTACTTTGAGATTCCGGCAAACGAAGGATTAAACACTGCCTCACCCTATGCAACCCTTGGAAGCTGAATCCGGCTGGCAGAAAACGGTTTTCGGGAGCGCCATATTTAGACCCCCGGACAAGTTTGGGTTCGCATTGTTGTCCTCCCTATACACCGAAGGCTCGATCTGGTGCCCCGTGATGTTGAATTGGAGCTAAGTTTATCGCGGAAGCAAGTGCGCGTCTTGCTGAGCTATTCTAAAATTGCCGATAGCACCGGTGGTCTTGGTTTAAGCATAGACAAAGATGAGCGATTGTGTTGAAGTGGATATTCTCGCCCATGTCTAACAACCGGTGTTGATAATTTAGAAAAAGCAGACGCCTAAAGATGATCAGTGAATCTAATTATAAACTACAATTGTTTTTCCTGGCCACACTCCGAAAATGGGCTGAACTTCGCTCTCGTTGTTCAATTAATCTTTTTTTAAATATTGATTTAGGGATTTCAGCTTACAAACGGACTTATAATTTTGAGTAATTAAAAACATGATTTTCCGGAGCCATAAATAAATTAAGGATGTGACGTGATTAAATAGAGAGGTGTATTTTAGCTTTTTTATCGTAACGTCTTGCTCTACGTACATAATTACACCCCATATTTAAAAAAAACTAAAAGAAACTGATTTGAAAGTGAGGGCAAAACACCCCCTTTGTGTACAGCCATCGGCAGGCGTACATGACACGTGCGTGTGGTGAAAGGTGAGAGTGGTCAAGTGTCCAATACACTGATATTTAAAAAGTTCTGAGCCTTTTGCAAATCAATGGCTTAGAAATAACTTGAATGGCTCATGAATCCTGGGCTGAATTTTGGAATTTATGATGAGGTGGCACCGTGAAATTCATGCAACATTTACTTTTCGGAGAAATGAGACACACGCTACTGTTTATATCAAGGTCACCAATGTTATCATAACATGTCAATGTTTGAATCATGGTGATTGTTATATATATCTCAGTATTGCCAAGAGCTTGGCTCAGTTTTAAAACTTCAACATAGAGCTATTTTTAGCCACCACAACTTGTCTGCTAGGATGGTATTGATATTGACACCCCGTGTAACTGTGTGTGTCATTTCTGGCTGAGGTAAAGGTTGTTTACATTCGAATGTGTTCCATTTCTTTAATCAAGAATGTCATTGGGTGACGCAATATCTAGATTTTTGTCATTATAAAGTTCGTATTTAATTCATATATATATATATCCATGGAAGTAGTCAGGCAGCAAACTTGGACTTGGAAGAAATTGAAGACATTTTTGAACAAACTATCAAGCAATCAAGGACACAGACAACTATAAATATGTTTTCATTCAATTTTGTGCATTGAATGTAGGCAATGTCAAGTTACCGGTGATGCTAGTGTACTTACCCGTACACATTCATGGAGATTTAGATACCAGTATCTGGTGTGATATGTCTAGAGTAAATAATACCTAGTCCATAGTTCAGGGTACAATGTAGCGATTACTGCTATAAGAAAAAAAAAACTGTGACAAAATTATAAAAATCAGAGAATATCAAAACCGAAAGTTATACCTTCGACTTCTCCACGAGTCACAACATATTCCAAAACTGTTGGTCAAATAACTGCCCCCGATTTATTCAGGAGTTTACAGGGTACACCGGATGTTAGTATTGAAAGGGTTGTCTTGAGCTGAAAACTTTTTTGGTTTTTGATTGAGTATAATATGATGGACTATAACACCAAAATTAGAAGACTTGGAATTTGCAGACCATATAGCCATACTATCTCACAGACCACAAGACATGCAAGAGAAGATCAAACAGCCATACAATCTCACAGACCACAAAACATGTAAGAGAAGATCGCATAGTAATACTATCTCACAGATTACAAGACATGCAAGGGAAGATCCCTTAGGGATGAGATTGCTATTCTACCCATTGCTCTCTGAAGATTCTGAGTGTTGCTTGCAATTCAGCATTTGATCTTTCTCTTCTAAACCCGGCCGGTTCTTCCGATCAAGCGCTTCTTTAATTCTGCTGAGTATAATTCTGCTGGAGACCTTGCTTCGTGCGCATAGTAAGGGGGCTCTTTGCCCTTTCTCACATTGTCATAATTATCCACTATTTGGTTGTTTTTTTTTTAAATCAATATATATATTTTTTTTTTCCATCCAGTAAGAAGAGAAACCAAATTCACCAAATTCTGTTTGAACATATTGTGGATTTGGTTAACTATTTCAACTCCTCCATCTTTTAGGTCCTCTGTTTGTATAATGTCTATGCCTGCTCATTGGCCTACGACCTCTGTTGGTATAATGTCTATGCCTGCTTATTGGCCTACGACCTCAGTTGGTATAATGTCTATGCCTGCTTATTGGCCTACGACCTCTGTTGGTATATATTGTCTATGCCTGCTGCTTGGCCTAGGACCTCAGTTGGTATATTGTTTATGCCTGCTGCTTGGCCCTACGACCTCAGTTGGTATATTGTTTATGCCTGCTGCTTGACCTACGACCTCAGTTGGTTTATTGTTTATGCCTGCTGCTTTGCCTAGGACCTAAGTTTGTATATTGTCTATGCCTGCTGCTTGGCCTTGGACCTCAGTTGGTATATTGTTTATGCCTGCTGCTTGGCCTACGACCTCTGTTGGTATATTGGCTATACCTGCTGCTTGGCCTAGGACCTCAGATGGTATATTGTTTATCCCTGCTGCTTGGCCTACGACCTCAGTTGGTATATTGTCTATGCCTGCTGCTTGGCCTAGGACCTCACATGGTATATTGTTTATGCCTGCTGCTTGGCCTAGGACCTCAGATGGTATATTGTTTATCCCTGCTGCTTGGCCTACGACCTCAGTTGGTATATTGTCTATGCCTGCTGCTTGGCCTAGGACCTCACATGGTATATTGTTTATGCCTGCTGCTTGGCCTAGGACCTCAGATGGTATATTGTTTATCCCTGCTGCTTGGCCTACGACCTCAGATGGTATATTGTCTATGCCTGCTGCTTGGCCTACGACCTCAGATGGTATATTGTCTATGCCTGCTGCTTGGCCTACGACCTCAGATGGTATATTGTCTATGCCTGCTGCTTGGCCTACGACCTCAGTTGGTATATTGTCTATGCCTGCTGCTTGGTCTAGGACCTCACATGGTATATTGTCTATGCCTAACACTTTTCCTGTCTTCATTTGTTGGAGCGCCTTTCATATTTCTTTTCTTGGCTATCCCTTCCACTTCCATGTATATTTTTTGCTTTGCTTTTGCTATCCCTTCCACATTTCTTCTTTGCTATCCATTCGATATTTCTTGTTGTTTTTGCTATCCCTTCCATATTTTTTTTGGCCATCCCTTCCTTATTTCTTCTTTGGCTTTCCCTTCCATATTTCTTCTTTGGCTATCCATTCCATATTTCTTTGTCCATCCTCTTTGTGTAGATGGAAGGTGTCTAATTTGGATGGTAGCTCATTTAATTGAAGGTTTTAAAGTATATAAGAAGATTATGTTTATAATGTGTTGATACATTATGAAGTTTAAGAAGTAAAGGAGATTATCCATAGGCACTAGTATTTGAGGTGTTGAGATTAATATGTATTTTAGGATTTTCATGAGATGTATTTTGTATTGTAATTGTGTATAATAAAATATTTGTCACTGTTACTATTTGAACCACTTCAACACTGGTATGATTGATATCGAGATTGTGATTGTGACAACCGGGACTAAAAATGTAAAAATAAACACACATTCCAATTTTTTCCGTTACTACACATGATTCCCAGTCCAATTATAGGAAGGTTGGACTGCGATACAGTTTTTAATTAGATTAAAGAGACCCAAACAATTAGATGAAATAGACAAAATACACGTTTAAATGTTTCAGCTAATGCCTTCATCAGTACAACAAAAAAGATTCCTACAATTTTTAATGAAATTTTAAGTAATAAAGGTAAAGGACACCTAAAAAAAAAAATGAAAGAAAAAAAAAAAAAAAAAAAAAAAAAGGGCACAAGGCCGACAAAAAAAAAAAAAAAAAAAAAAAAAAAAAAAAAAAGAGGAAAAGAAAATATAAAAAAAAAAANAATCATCAAAAATTAACTGATAATAAGGCATACTTGATAATTATATCAAAATGAGGGGGGAACTAAAGGTGTGTGTAATTAAACAGCCTGTGCACCTATAACATGTATATTTAAAATACAAATATGGTTAGAAATGTACAAGGGTAATGTGCAGCAAAAATTATTCAAAGCAAATAATCAATATTTAAGCTAATTATATCAAAATACAGAATAACTATAATTATACATATTTAAATAGTCCATGTGTCCATTACATATTGATATACAATACAAGCAGGGCTGGAACAGGTTGTTCAAGCGAATCATGTGCCTTTTTTGGGAGTACCTATCTGTGTGAAAAGCTCTTTTCCCACCATGAACTTTAAGAAGTCAAAGTTTAGGGCCAAACTTCCTGATGATCATCTTCAAGC